AGGGGAGGAATGGGAGTAGGGGGAGGGGAGGAGAGGAGGAGGGGCGGGAAGGAGGGTTTCGCCTTCGCCTCAGCTCGGGCCCCGCGACCCTCGCGGGACCCGGCAGCCGGGACCGAGCCGGCAAGAGAAAGAGCGGCAGGAAAAAAATGCGGGCCTCGCCATCGCTCGGACGTCCGTTCCCCCTGTGCTTTTTTCAGTTTCGTGCGTGGTGTTTTTGCCAAATGATCAAGGATGCTCCTCGATGGTCCTCGCCGAAGGAAGAATGCGATGCCAAGGGCCTGGGGCCCCGGCCGCGGTTCCCTGCGATGCGGCAACTCTCTGAGGGGCACCGACAGGAAAGACTGGCACAGGGGGGGAGGCATCGACCTGGAATCGGCGACGCATCGCCGATGGATCGGCGAAAGACCCACGACAGCGAAGCCGCAGCTTCCTGGGCGGGTGGGGCTATCGGGCCCTCTCGGCGACGAATGGACGCTTGGGGGTCGATCCATCTCCCCCTGTGCCTCTCTCCCCCCCTCGTTGCCCCCGAGTTCCTCGTGACGTCAGGACTCAGGGAAGTGGCCGCGATTGCTCGGGGTGCTCGGCACCCGAGGGGGCCCCCCGTTGAGATCCCCAGACCCCCGACACACGCTGGAAGGACACCGACGATCGCGCTCCGCGGAGCGCGGAGCGCGATCGTCTTCGCGCTTTCGCGACGCCCCCCCCAGCCCCCGCCCACCCACCCCCGCGCTTGCGCGCCGCCCCCCCAGCCCCCCCCCCCTCGAACAGCACGAGGGGCTCGTGCCTCGCTCTCTGAAGTCGCCCGGACCGCGAAGCGCGGTTCGCAACCAGCCTCGCACCCTCGTGGTGGCCCCAGAGGCAGCAGGGCTGACCAGCAGACACGCAGGGCAGCCCGGTGAGGGCAACTTGTGGACGACGTGGTGGCTTCTCCTCCCTCGACAGATAGAAAGGCACCCAGGAAGATATAAACAAAGAGGCACCAATTCCAGGATGCCCATAGAAAGTTTCTACATGTTCTGGGTGTTCGTTTTCCGCTCAAGTTCGCATCTTTCGCATGTTGCCATGGGAAATATACGCTCTTGCGTGTGTCTGTGTCTGCTTTTTCCTCCTGAAGGTACGTGAGTGATGCCCAGCAGCAGAGCCTGACCACAACTGACCAGGGCTGAACCTAAACGGTGTTTTTCGTTTTCGTTGTGTTTTCATGTTCCCTCGCTTTTGCCTCGAATCCGCCCTTGCCGCAAAACGAAGTCGAAACGAAAACGGCCCACGACATCGCCAAAAACACAGCGGCCCTGAAACTGACCGCGGCCGCCCGCTGCTGGGCAGACGACGCACTGCCCCAGGCGGACGGCGCCCGCGGCGGCACACCG